GTCCTATTCCTCGCAACTACTCTCAATCCTTTTAAGATCTTAACTGGTTAAATGCCATGAAAGATGAATATGATGCACTTATTTATAAAGGAACTTGGGTACTTGTACCTCGGCCTTCCAATGATAATGTGGTTAATTGTATTTGGTTATTCAAAAAGAAACTTAATGTTGATGGATCTTTAGCTCGATACAAGCTGCATTTGGTTGAAAATGGACGTAGTCGGCGTCCAAGCATTAACTGTGATGAAACTTTTAGTCGGGTTGTTAAACCGGCTATTATCCGGACTGTTCTTAGCCTTGTTGTCTGCCATCATGGCATGTTCATCAACTAGATGTGAAGAATGTGTTTCTTCACGGTCATCTCCAGGAGACCGTGTATATGCATTAACGATCGGGTTTTCGAAACCCGTCACTTCCTCATCATCTTTATCTTTTGCAAAAATTGTTTATAGTCTCAAGTAGGCCCCTAGAGTGAGGTACCACAGATTTGCTCCGTTTATCACTCAACTTGGCTTCATCAACAACATATATGATTCCTCTCTTTTCATATATAGACATGTAGAACATATTGCATACCTTCTTCTTTATGTTGGCAATATTATTTTAATTGCATCTTCCACATGTCTCCTTTAGCAGGTTATCACCACCTTGAGTTTAGAATTTTTGATGACTTAGTTGGGCTCTTTAAACTACTTTCTTGGTATTTCTGTCACTAGAGGTCATCATGAAATGTTTCTATCTCAACAAAAATATGCTACAGATATTGTAGCTCGAGCAAGGATTTCTAATTGCAAACCCTCTCGCACTCCTGCACAAACTACTACAAAAATTTATGGTACAAGCCCAATTAAGGATCCGACTTTATATCGCAGTCTTGCAGGTGCTCTTCAATACTTGACATTCGCTCGCCCAGACATTTTATATGTTGTTCAACAAGTCTACCTCTACATGAATGATCCAAGAGAGCCCCATTTTAATGCTCTTAAATAGATTCTAATGGACTTATTGCCTAATCGGATATTGATTAGGCTAGCTGCCCCACTTCCAAGTGCTCCACTTCTGGATATTGTGTTTTTCTCGGTTAACATTTACTCTCATGCCCTTCTTAAAGACAGGGCACCATTTCGAGATCTAGTGCTGAGTCAGAGTACCGCAAAGTTGCAAATGCGGTGGCTGAAACAAGATGGCTTCCAATTTATTACGGGAATTATATTACCCTCCTCTCGCTGCTACTCTGGTTTTCTGTAATAATGTTACTATAGTGTGTAACGCCCGCAAGATAGGGCTAGATGATTAAAGAATAAAAGGATAATTATTCATCACGATGATAAATAGATGTTTTTAATAGAAGGTTATTTAAGATAAATTATCTAAATGAAAGTCATAATATGCGTTAAACTAAGAGCGTGCATATAGAGAAAGCCTAAATATGACTTCACATGAGGAAGTTATGATTTTTCGAAGTTTCAGCGTAGCAGTATACGACTCATAAACCTAAATTCAAATCAGTCAACTATTAGAAAAAACAAACTAAACGAGAGTTGAAAATCTCGTCAATATCTATATGTCGATATAAAGACAGCCGAGAATGGATATCGTATGAAAAAGTTATGATTTTTATACGGACTTTAACAGTCTAAGCCTGTTAAAAATATAGCTTTAAAAACAAAGTGAGAATTATATGATGGAGTCTAAATGAAGTTTGTATAAATCTCGGCTAGCTATGTGCGGATATAAAATACGTCGAAAACAGAGCTCATATGAAGAAAATATGAATTTTTAAAGAAATCATAATTTTTCGTGCGCAGTGTCGCACACAGAAAAAAGGCGCGACACGCTTCTGACCCGTCATAGGATTTTGACACGTGTCACCACCTAGACGACGCCATGTTGGTGTCCGAAAATTTTCACGACGCGCCCTGACAGAGTGTGCGATGCGCTTCTGTTTTTCAATCCTATATAAACTGCATTTTCAACCTCATTTCTCACCCCTTTCATCCAGATTCTCTCTGGAATTCTCTCGTATCTTTAGCCCTTTACTCTCTAGTTCCCGACCACTTTGGAAAAATCCTGCAGTGTCAGATAGCTGGTGAATAGAAGCTCCCAAACCAGAGTTATGCCCGCATAATTCCTGGTTTTCGCTAGATGCTCTGTAAGTTAAGTTACACTTATTTTATTCAACCACAACTTTAACTATAGTCATAGTCATTATTATGAACTTATAATTAAGATTTATCATTGATTCTAAGTCATTATACTGACTAATCTATTTACGGGGATGATATCTACGCTGGATTTAGTGAGGTGTTTAAAGTGGGATTTCCAAACACTATACTATGTATACCAAACTCCCTCCAAAATGATCCTACCTGGTTGTTCATTACTTTATAGATCTTCATGTAGACATTGAGATTAGTGAGGAATCTAGACTATCATTAGTCACCAATAATATAACACGAAGACTTAGTAATATGAACCTAGGTCACGTAAGAGGAAAAGATAAGTACCAAGGCGAAGTTCTGCTCAAATTCTAAGGCATCCACTTTTATCAAATGAGTGCATATTTACTTTCATCTTACCCATAGATATGAAGTATTTAGATAATTGAATGATATATGTGCTTATGTGCAAAGATGTTCTGTGTTAGATGAAATGTTATACAGATAAATCTGTATGATTTATACCGTATATGTATTTTCATGAAAATAATACATCGGGTAATGAAAGGTAAAAATGATAATATGTCATAGTATGATGAAAGATGAAAATAATAATAGGATGCTACGACTTAAATAGTGTTATTATACTAACGATTTAAGAACTAGTACTATTGTAGTAACGATCTAGGAACTAGTACTATTGTAGTAACAATGTAAAAAACTAGTACTACTGTACTAAGGATGTAGTAACTAGTACTACTATACTAACGATGTAGAAAATAGTATTATTGTACTAAAGATGTAGGACCTAGTATTACTGTACTAAGGATAAAAGAACTAGTACTATTGTACTAATGATCTAGTCATCTAATAGAATATAGATTGCAACAATGATTGTCCTTAAGATAGGACTCTATAGATAAGTAAAGAAGATAATGGGGATGAGTAATTGAGTAAATTGTTTGATAGATAATTAAAAATTCTAATTATATTATTGTGGGTTGTAAACCCTATGTACTCACCAGGTTTTCCAACCTGGCCCACTCAACTTCTTTATATCACAGGTAGCGGTAAAATGGTATATCAATGATGAGAGATTTAGGGAGATGTAGACTGTTAGTCTAAGATACAGTAAGGCCTATATGCTTATGTTTCTTGTATCAATTATGACATCCTAAGTTTTCTTTTAAAGATATTAATGTAAAATGTTTCTTTGGAAATGTTTGATGTTAATATTATCTCACATTGAAATAATATTTTCGGGACAAATTCCGCATTAATAAACACTCTGTTTTAAATAAGCATAAATTAAAAGTTTGAAAATGGAAGTAAATTTCGGGATGTTACACAGTGTACCTATCTACTAATCTCGTTCAGCACCAACGCACCAAACACATAGAGATCGATATACACTTTATGCGCGACAAAGTTGCATTGGGTCAGATTCTTGTCCTTCATATTCCCTCATCATCTCAATATGTTGACATCTTCACCAAAGGGATCCCATCTTCTTTATTTCTTGACTTCGGATTAGTATAACGTCCGTTCAAAACCTCCCATTTAGGCTACTACAAGGGGATGTTAGACGTAATATGTATTTGTATGTTATATTTTAGTTAGCCTATTTATTGTTTGCTTTAGATAGCCCATTGTTGTACATTAAGCTCAATTGTATTTTCATATATATTCACGTAAAGGCTTTATGCCTCTTCATGAGAAATTATGTACTATAACAATTATGAAGGGATCGGAAGGCAAAATGGGAAGTTGCGAATTAAAGCCATCCCACATCGCCTGGTGGGAACAAAAAGGAAAGGAAATGAGCTCTATTTTAGGGTGCATCTAATATGGCTTGGAGCAAAGAATCTGGTTCTTCATTTAGCCGACTTGTTTAAGAGAGCCATTGATTTCTTTCGAGTTAGTCCTTTTTAGATTGAATCAGTTCGGTTTTGGCTTGATATGGTCCTAGTTTGGACTGAGTTAAGACGATTTTAATTGAGTCTGAACTTTTTCTAAGTGTTTTTGCCGAGTAGGCTTAACTCGCCTCGGTAAGGGGCTGAGTAGGAGTATTCGACCGAGTACTCGGCTGAGTTGATCGATTTTACAACACTGGCCACAACATGAGCACACAAAATATTGTCAATTATAACTATGAACTCTTGTATGGTTGATTATATGGCTTGTATAGTATAGCGGTAGATACAATGGTTGGGTTTTGGTTTAGTTGTTTTGTTTTCATTGTACGTTATAAGTGTTATAACCGATCTGTATAAACCTACATGGTCAACAATATAGCATCTACAAATTGGCCATCATCCAAAATATTCGAGATACACGCACCACCCTCATAGTATGAGCCCGACATCCAATGGTTTTACAAAGGAACAACAAATATTGGTATCGTGTCAAGCGTTAGCTATGTTTCAAATTGGTTTAGATTTCCTCCTGCTAATCTAGCGTTTTGAGTACTTCAAAACATATAGATGTTGTAGTATGGAGATTGCCAAAGATTAATACTACATATAACATGTAACTCGGTAATGTTTTGTAAAAAAAACATTTTGTTTTCTCATAGGATCATGTATTTACAGTCACTAGTACAAAACGTATTTAATAGTGCGATGGCTTTTTCTTTTTTGGTGCGGTGAGAGCCTAAAACCGCACCATTAAAACACTTTCGCATTAATAAACTAAGAAACCGCATCATTTAAATCATTTGTTGGAGCGGTTTCTTATATCCGCATTAAAAGACATTAAAAATGCATTATTTGATGCGTTAGCTTGAAACCGCACTATTAAACACATTTAATAGATAAAAACCGCCTCAAAAAATATAGGGTAACCGCACCATTTGTTTAATCTTTCCCTCTAAAATTTCATTCTAATTTTTCATTTCCCTCAAACTTTTGATTTTCTTACAAACCAAAATTTTCATTTCCCTCCTACTCTCCAATCTAATAAACGCATCATTAAAGAATGGGGATCCCATCATAAAAGCACCAGTACCCTACTTATTGTGTGAGTGTTTTTCCCCCTTTGCAAATAAAACAAAACACATACGAAACAGTTCTGTTCTTCTTCCTTCTTTTCTTTTTCTGCTTCACGTTCGATCGGTGGTGTCAAGTTGTTTAAGATGGAACAAGGGTGGCGGATCAGAAATATGTAGGAGATGGTGGTGCTTGGATGGTTCTCGGCAAAGGCAGGGGTTGTGGTCGGTGTTCTCGGTGGTTAGTGGTGGAGATGGTAGGTATGTAGATAAACCAATTTCTTTTCTTCTTCCTTTTCTTTTTCTGATTTATGTTTGGTGGCATTGGGTTGTGTAAGGTGGAATAATGGTGGTGAATTGGAAGTATGTAGGAGATGATGACGCATGGATGGTTCTCGGCAAAAGGTAGGTGCTCTACGGGCGGTGTTCTTGGTGGTTAGTGGTGAAGATGGTAGGTGGTCGGAGGTGGCGAGATAGTGAACCGGAGGTGCAACAGACTCGTAAAGATGTAGGAGTTGTTTTCAGGAAGTGAAGATGGTAAGGGGTGATTTCCGGCTAAGGTAAGGCAGATAGTGATGGTGTGAACTGGTGGTGGTTTATTGTTTGTGAGCTCGGTTGTTAAAGTGGTCGATTTAAAGATGTTGTACGGTGGTTAATGGTGGAAAAATGGTGCCTTGGTGATTGCTGTGTTCTCGACAGCGAACTGGTGTCGGAAATAATGATGGTTTCGGTGGGTGTTTGATCTCTTCTAGATAGACCTGCAAATGGACCTGTTCTGATAGCTTCAAGGAGGATGGATTTGCCCTCCCACCATCCAAATGGACCTGCAACGAGCACCATTGATCGGAAGTTTATGCACTAGAACAAAATCTTATTTTTGGTGCGAATGTTGCAGGCTTTTTTTTTTGGGTATTGCTTCTTTATTTGGAGCGGTTTTTATTGTTTTTTGGTGCGATTTGTATTATTCCAATATTGTTTTTTGGTGCGGTTTTGGTTATTTATTGGTGCGGTTTTGTAACCGCATCATCAAATAAGGGTATTTTCTAATGCGATATTTTTTTGTGCGGTTCTATAACCGCACTAATTAATTATTTTAACCGCATCAACAAGTGCTTTCTGTAGTAGTGAGTAAGGGTCATATAAATATGTGTGCTAAGAGACAAGCATTGACGATGAAAAATGATTATCATCAGTTTTATTGTGTTAATTAGAAGAGAGTAGAGAGGATCATATTCACTACAGACCAAGTAACAAGAAAGAATGGTACATGTGGGTCACCTAGGCTTGGAAGTTATATTAGAATAAAGTTCGATCCATGATGCCAAATGACTTTTCCAGATCTAAGGTAGTGCAAATTTGCGTCAACTCCTTTCTTTTACCAGAGAACAGTTTAATCGATGTAATTGATTGATAAATCATGGATGGAATCTAGTCTCCCTTATAAAGCAACAAAGTTGAAGTAGTCCATTATCATTAAAAGACCACACAAATGGGAAAACACGATAATTTTTCTTGTATTCCTTATTAAATTTGTATGAACATTCTTAATTAGAAGACCTAATTAAGCATAGAACTTACCTTACAAAATTGTAAGATGGATATGTTAGCAATATATGTTATAGTTAATTATTTGCTAAGCAATGGAAACCCGGAAGAAGATGACCTTTTCACAAATCTTCCTTTCATTCTAGGCCTCTTCTCTGCATTCAGTTTTCGTACCTCGTATCTTATTTTTTTCGAAAACAACCTTGTTCGCCTCTTTTCTCTATACCTTGACACCCTTGCCTCTCTCCCTCCATCTAACATTGCCGGATTCCCCGTTATCATTCCCATATCCCCATAAGGATGATGATGCTGATGATGCATTATCCCACATCCACCCTAAGAAATCAAAAGAGCCAATATATTAGTCCTATTGTTAATCCGACGTCGAACAACACCAAATGATAATTTGATTTTCATAAAAGACGTTAAGAAAAAGTTGGTTGTATACATATACAATATGTCAAAGTGTAATTAAGGTTGCATAAAGGCGTGCTTAACAATATGTCAAGTCATGCATTGAAATGCACCGCAAAAGGCATTATTTTTATGCATGTAACACTTTTTTATCACAACTATTTACTTTTCTCCTAAAAAAATAACATTTGATTAAATATATAGTTTAATAACATATGTTGAATATTAATCCATGTCAAAAAGATTTCTTTATGAAATACAAATAGAAAAAACTTTGTGATTCTTAAAAGAGTGAGATTTTAGTGTGAAAGAAAGACCATATATATATTTAAAACGTAAAAAGAGTAGAGTAGACCTACCAGGCACTCAGGCCAACAATCATCGGGATCCAACTCCGGCCGATCACCGGTTGTCCATGGTGATCTTTGCTCATCCCAAGCGGCAATGATTCCTTCATAATCTAGCTTTAATATTCTTTTTTGCTTCTTATTTTCATCATCATATCGTTCTATATTGATAACCACATGATAATCTTCATCCTCTTTCACCACACCCATACGATCCCCGACACCACCTTCCACCGTCAACTTCTCGTCTTTTTCCTCCCATAACGGTGAATCGTAATCAAAGCTCAACTGAAATGGCTCTCTCATCATCTCCATCTCATTCTCCACCGTTTCACACTGCATCTGATCTTCTTCAACCTTCACTCTCTCTAAGCTTTCGCCGCCCGAATCCTTCTCTCTACAATCCAACAACCCTAATCCTTCCATAGCAAATGATTCCTCATCAAGACCTTTTCCCAGTAAACTCTCTACATCAGCGGCGAACTCCGCCAGCTCCATATCAGAGGGAAGTATCAACCCATTGAAACTATTCAAATCAAACGTCACTTTCGATCCATTATGATGATCTGCGTCCACCGGAGTTGTCGCCTCCGTTTGTTTCACAGGCGTTGCCACCTCATTTGAATTCCCGGAAAGACAAAGTTCCGCGGCAAAGGGGTCAAAGATCGGAACCTGATACAAAAGTTGCTCATCGGATGTCACGGCGGTGGTCTCATCACTACCGATCTCCGGAACTAAGTGAAGTGGATTGAAACTCATACTGCTTTCTTCAGATTTTGGCGTCCGTCGAGACGCCTGCTTGTGGAGGTTCCCACCACGAGGAGTTCTTGGTTTCTTGGTAAAACCATGGTGCCATGGCGGTGGTGCTGGTTTCTCCAAAGAAGAAAGCTTCAAAGAAGCCAGCTTTAGACGAACCCTTTCGTGACGACGAGCCAACGGGTTGGCCGAATGAACCGAAGCATCACACGATTGGCACAAGAAAGCGTCATCGGCAGCACAATACCACCGAGCACGCTTTCTTATACAATTATCACAAGCTCTTGCCGTTTTTCCTCCTACAACGTTGGCCAATTTCTTGTCCGATGAGACCATTTGGTAGGGGTCTCGAATGTAGGAACTTTTTGTTTAAAAATTATGGAGTTTGTGGAAGAAATGTATGATGGGATTGGAGGTTTTGTGTTGTGGGTGTGACCCACTGTATGCACTTTTTACAGAGAACAGTGTGGTCATATTGAAGAGATTTATAAAGAAGGTAAGTAGATGCACTTGCCTAGTTTCAGAAGGTCCCACAAAATGCCTTATCTTCATTTAATTGGCTAATATATGAACTCCATCCATGATTTTGTTTCGCTATTGGCTGCCTTTCCCATCAATGGATTTCTTGTGGGGTCCAAGAAATTTAAGCCCTGGTTCCCCATATCATTTTTATTGAATAATGTTTGTACCAAAGAATGAGCGTTTAATAAGCGCAATTGTGTTTTTTAATTATTTTCTACTGATTATTGATAAAAGTTAGTGGTAAATATATAAAATTAGATAGATAGAAAGTGTATATACCATCGAATGATATATATTAGTTTGTGTATATATCATCTAGTAGTTTTGTTGTTATAAAGTTTCATATATTATGGTATTTCTTGAACTATTATTTTTAGTACACTTGTATTGCATTGATCTATATGGTTAATCGTTGGATTCTTTACCAAGTTTGTTAGAAGTAACTATCACATTACAAAAAACAAAGCTTTAGCGATGACCTGAAGTCGTCGTAGTAGAGAACCTACAATAACAACGATGACCTGAAGTCGTCGTCGTAGAGAACCTACAATAACATATCGTAGCTGTTGGTTGAAAAATATTCAGAAAGTTTCTACTTTCAAAGACATATCGTTATAAGGTAAATGTGAAATTTAACTCTCATGATTTTTTTACCGAAATTTTTTGAAGTATGAACAATGAAAACATGCAATGCACTAACCTTTCGTCTCTACAAGATTAATTAAAAATAATCTACAAATATGCTTTAATTTTTATTTAAATTAAAAATTAAGTTAAAATATTTTGTATGAGTGAATACCAAAACGTCATTAGTGTGTAATCATTGTCGCCCTACTTCTCCGAAGATGTTGTCATTATAGGTTCTAGTATGCCTTGGAATAGAGTCTTGGTTCTATCTAGCTTTATCAACGCAAAATTAGATAGCTAGACTTAAGATTTCCTCTTATATGTGATACATCTCAATGGAACTCGATCATGCCCTTCCTCACCCGTTCTCATATTAGTCCCAACATACTCTTCCATAATGGTCTATCCTATTTGGCACAACGAATCAACAAAAACAAATATTAAAAATTCTATCACCTCATACCCATAAATCTCTTTAGAATCACAGTCAAACTTGAGCATTATATTACGATATGAAAGTTATTTCTTTTCATTGATTAAAATGTCTATTCGAGATATCTACACTCTAAGACTAAACTATCATCCTCTCAAATCTCAAGAAAATTTAGTCTAACACGATGTGAAAAGTGTATATTGTATTAACAACTATTCATTGCGTTATCAAGATTCCTTTAAGTTGACATTTTTTATCAAGAAAGCTTTGTTGTCCTAACAACTATTTGGTGTTTTATTGTATTTGATATTCTACATCCATATCATATATGTTTACCAGAGTAGAGAGGTCCGAGTATTTAATTAGATATCTACCTTTAGAGTGGGGGTCTTGCTAACTGTAACACCTGATTCCAGATATTCGTGTTCGCAGTGTGGGCCATGTCATTAAGTAGCGGCGCGGTTGGTTGTTGTATGCGGCGCAGTGGTTGCCACAGCCCAAAACCCTAGGTCTCGGGTTATAAGTCATATTTAAGAAAATAGATGTTTATTATTTTCTTTAGCTTTATTCTCCATATCCAGAGAATGTTCATAGCAAACCCTAGCCCCCTCTCTTGATATTCTAAGCCCTGCATCCTTATGTGTGTGCATCTTGAAGGGAAAAAAGGAGATGTGTAGTGTAAGGAAGTGTGATTCAAGGTAGATCTAGCTTTATGAGCATCTTCTGGAACTTTGTAAGAATTCAAGTTTAGAACTTGTGCTTAAATGCTTACATCTTACTGTTTATGGTGGTTTTGTACCTTTTTCTAAGATTCTTGTGGAGTTTGGCAAACTCCATGCACAAAGCTTGATTCTTGGGGTCTTCTTGACCCATGAGAGTACAAGACTCAAGTTGTTGTCTTTAATTTTGGATCATCCAAGGATTTGGGTATATTCTAAGCTTAATCTAGTTCGAGGGTTAGAGTTAGGTTGGTTTGATGCATGTAAATAGATCAAGTAGGAAACTATATCCATTAAGTCCTTATTCAATGTGTTATGGAAGTTTAGAGCTTAGGTCGTAATGGATTAGGACCTAAACGAAAAATTGGTTCTATATGAGCATTGACTTTTTGACCAATTTGAATTTTAGTTAAACTTGATAGGTTTGCGCTATAGATTGAGGTTTGACCTCTGTTTGGTTTAGGCGGTTCATATAGCTGATTCTGCGAGTGTTTGAGTGTTTGTTGAGATATTAGCTCTTCATTCAGGCGAGTCTCCCCATTATATTACGTATGTCATGATTGTATCCTCTATGTGTTGGATGCTTGTGTAATATTTTGACATGGTAGTATGCTTAGTTAAACCAATAGGGTCTTGGTTATGGTTGTTGCTTGTTGTGTAACATCCCAAAAACCAAAGTAAAATTTTCATTTTTAAAACGTAAATTTTGTACAACCATTGGTTTAAAACCAATTAGAATGAAATGTATTGTTCAAACATCATAGTAATACAATAACAAGCGGTGCGGAAAAACCATCAGGGGATCTTGTGCAGTCAAGCCGGACCCTTCCCTTTGGAACTGGAAGTACTTGAAAATGTTTAAACCACAAACTATAAGCACAAAGCTTAATGAGTTCCCCAAAATACCACATACTATACATATCAACGGGCCCAACCCACACATTGGGCCCAACCCATCATAGCAGGCCTATCACCACATATCAATGGGCCTAACTCAACAAACAAATAGGCCCAGCCCAACATGCATACCAATGGGCCCAGCCCAACACCCAATGCAAGAGTCACAAAGACAACTAGCATCCTACACAGTATAGTGAGAAGACTCACCTGACTCATGAAATTAGCTAAACCATAGCTCAATGCACCGTAACAGATCTTACAACACTCCTATCGAAACATATAAGGTCTAACCTTAATCTACACCCTAAATCCAACAATCTTGACCAAAAGTCAACCCATGTCAACAAGTCAATGGTCAAAGTCAAAGTCAACAGCAACCAATATCAACCATTGAACCTCACGTCATTACCAGCCCTTGATCACGTCGTAAGAACACACTCAATCACGATGTGAACCCTCCTTGGTCATGTCGTGAACACAATAGGACAAGATAATCAGGAAACTTCAATCGTCACGTCGTGACATCCTCTATGTCACGTCGTGACATCCTCTATGTCACGTCGTCACCACAGTCTGAGGCAACAAATTAATGGTTTGAGTCCTTAATCCATCAGTCTTCAACTCCCATTTTCCAGAAAGCTTTAGAGGATTCCATAGGTTCATAAAAATGACAATTTATGGACATGCATACTCCATGCATGTCCTCTACACTACCTAGGTCAAAATCCAAGAAAATCACCTAAAACTCAAGAAAGGTTCAATATTCACAACCAATCCTTAGATCCATAAGATATGATGCTCTAGGGACTCAAGAGGACTATAAAGTTGCCCAACTTTACTTTATCCGTTTACTCAAATCAAAACCGTGAACCAAAAGGGACCAAAACAACTTAGATCTAAGAGAATAAACCATAAAGGTAGAAGCTTGAATCCTTATAAATGGTCCAAAATGGGATACCAAAGATAAGAACATGTTACTTTCTTGATCCATGCACTAATTCTCCTTCTACTTCCTTTAAAGGGCACCAAATCCACTAAAGATGAGCTAAAACCACCAATAAGGATCAAGGTTAGGGTTTTATGAGGTTTGAGGTTGATGGAGGCTAATAATGAACCCTAAATGTGAGTTAATGGGGTTTAAATGTGAAGGAAACCCTAAAAGATCATGGGCTTGGGCTACAGCCTTACTCATGTCGTGACTACAGTCCAGATACGCGTTCTTCACTTTGGCTTGTCACGTCGTGACCTAACTATGGTCACGTCATCACACCCTTTTTCCCCAAAAACCATGCTTTTGACTCCTTGATTCCTTAAACCGGTCCATTCTGGAAAAAGTGTGTTAAAACTCTCGCCCACTTAAATTAGATTTTGTCCTTGAAATCATTATTTACAACTTTCTCCCTACACCAGTCGACTCTGACAAAACTTCCTGAATTCCAATTAGGACTGAGAATTCATCATACACCGATGACCGCCCACCAGCACTGCTATCGAAGCCAAATCTTAGTATAAATCACTTGGATTCAGCTGCACTCTTCCAACCTCATAACCATTGGATTTCTGAACCAACTCACAACCTCACTACTCCACATTATCATCCTGAGCTTACAAGAACTAAGTTTCCATGACCAAACACTCTAGGGTACACCAACCCCAAAACCAGGTTAAACACTTCGCTACTCTTGCCGAAAAATATTTCCGCATCCAAAGCACCTTCCCTTGATATAATTCCAAATCCTTGAACAAGCTCAAATGATGACAAATAACAAATGAACCCACTATCAGAATAGATAGATAACCAATCTAACTACTCACTTGTTACTAGGAAAAACCCATGCAGACATGCATAAGCCATGCTCGAAAGTTGATAGATCACAATAGCTCCTACCCCACTAACAATAACGACTAATTCAACGAGCTAACTAACCCTTCAAATGACATCCAACCTGAGCAGTACAAGCACCTCTAAACTCTATTTTTGTTGTCCTAAAAGGAACAATCGACTACAACGAGATCTTTGCTAGAAGCTTCCGAAACGAGGAGCACATGAACATCCCTGAAAGAATAAATCTGACAGCAACTCACCCTGCACTCGTGTTCTGACCAATCCGTTATACCCATCAACCACGAAAGATCTCAACCATCTCGAATTCCAAAAATCCAATGAACTTACACTGCAACTTTCTCTGACCCATTGCGCTGAAACCATCAAAATCAATACGGTTACTTATCCTCCAAGCAGAACACTCAGTTTACTAGGGCTCG